GACAAGAACTCCATCAGAGAACTTCCCTTCATCACTTGTGGCATTTTTGCAGCTCTTGGATTTGAAGCAGCACAAACTACATCCCAAAATGTCATACTTGGTGTCCCTGCAGTCTGCTCCCTGTGGAGCTTCTCCAGTTTGGGAAGGTTCTGAAGTATTTCAAGGACATTAAACTGTCCACAACTTATTAATTGTGCTTGAAAAGCAGCCTCAATGATTGAAACAAGCACACAGCTTCCTGAGAAATGTTTAGGGTTTCATCCCTGTCTAGGAAGGAAATAAATGATTTGCCTATATTGTAACACCTGAGCATTCATTCTCTCTCTTCCCTCTGGACTGTGTCACATGAAAATCAGCAGAATCCACCCTTAGGGGTTTGTGAGTTTCACAGATGCAGCCATTGGAATGTATTTTACTGACACACTGATGTGATTGTCACAGTAGAAATTATATCAATAAAATCTTCACTAATCTGAGAAAAATTACACAAAACCTCAACTGCTCACTGAGCCAGAGCTTCATGTCCAAGAGAAAGAAAGCAAAGTATCAGAAATATAAACACCTTTAGGCAGTTTGTGATCAGTTTTCCTGGAGAGCCCGGGGGATGGCTTTGTGATCCCTTGAGGGACAGTTTCAGGCTGGCTCCCGAGGTGCTGCTGCCTCAGCCGAGGGTGCATCTCCAGCCTGGCCCTTGCAGCTCTGCAGCACTGCTCCCTGGTGCTCAGGTACAGCTCACAGAACTGCAGGGAACACAGCAATGGTGCACCCACCAAGTTACAGCTCTCAAAAGGTTCTCAGGAGTAACATGTAGCACTAGCAAGGAAAGCACAGCTCAGCAGATGGATGCATTTCCTCTTCAAGCCCAACACGATTTTAATTTTCATTATCAGAACAACCACTCAGGTATCACAGTAAAATGCAGCCATGATTCAACAAGGAGGTCCAAATATTGACCAAAAATTAAGTGTGACTTTCAACTCTTCCTTCATACATACTGGAAGACTGATTTTTAACACAGGATTCCTACCAGCTTTCCTCCTATGACACCATATTCATGTACCAATCTTTGTGGGCTGTTTATTCAGTCCAAAACTCAGAATCCTGGGGTGAGGCCATCACTAATGCTCCTATTGCCAACTCCACAAGAACAAATGTCACTCCTGGCCATACCTTGTTGTAGTCCAGTTTGCCATTGCAGTTAAAATCAGCTTGTTTAGTAATGCTGGTCACTTCCTCCCAGGTCATTTTATCACCTCTCTGCAAGGAAAAAACAGCTCAGTTTGGGTTCCTAATCAACAATCTTGGTCACCCACAGCACAAATTCCATAAACAAAGGAAAAGCCTTTTTATATTCTTTCAGAGAATCTGATCTTGCAATAGATTTCAACAGATTTTGATTTGAATCATGAAAAAAAGAGGTCAAAATCATTACAAACTTTGTCTTTACAATGCTACTAAATATCAAAGAGATCAACTGCATCAGTTTATGGAATTCTGTGGTGTCTTCTGGAAACTCACCATGAAAATCTTCCATAAAATGGGGAATCCCAGCTCCCAGGACCATCTAATTTCCAAAATCTCTACTAATTAAGGATGGATAATTAGGTTTCTGGTGATACTTACTGTTGTAAGCATTTTACAAAGTTCATCATGTGCAATATATCCAGCCTTATCTGTGTCTATTTTCCCAAACGCTTCGAGCAGTTCATTTTTTGTAGCTGGCTTTTCCTTTTTTAAAATAGCACAAAAATCATCAAAATTCAGTGAAGATGTTTGTGAAGTCCAGTATCTGTTAATGGTCTTCTGAGAAGGATTTCTCCCAGCCTGCTGAAGTACTGAACAATAAAACACAATATTAAATAGATATCCCAGTTGTTAGCAAAGGAGTTTTCTCCAAATATCCTTGAGTCACTTTCCATGTTCAGATTTTTTTTAAAGCCAAATTACTCCAAGAGAAAAGTGGGTCTGAAGGATTTGGTTATGACCTTAATCAAAATATTCATGAACTCAAAGACACTCTCAAGTGCAAAATTTAACCTATATCCAGAGTCTCAATATCAAGAATATATTATTTTTAAGTCTGCACATTATTAGATTATTATTTTTCTCACTTCCCTTTGAAATTCCTGAAGTTTTTAAAACAAAGCCCCACAGCTTTCATTTCCTCCCAACAGCCTTATTAAGTGCAGCTGAAGCAGTCAGAGATTTGGTTTTTCTGTTGTATTTCTGGCACCACCACTTACACACAAATGTGGTCCGGACAAGAAAATGAGAATTTTAGATTCCAGTCTATGAAAGTAATCCAGTAACTGAGGAGTTGAGATAAGGAGTAAGAATTCTTATGGAACACCAGTTATGGTGGTTCTCTGTGCCCACTCCAAACTGAGCTGAGACCTTTCCTACTGGTGATTTACAAATAAAACCTGTAATTAAAAACCTACAATAAAATTCCTCTGTCTGGAATTCCCACTTCCAAAACTACTCCCAATTCCTTAAACAAGTTCCTGAGTTTATCCCCACTGCAGTCATCCCATGGAAGAGTTAGAGGGGAAAAGATTCAATCATTACCTAAACTGAGCTGCTCTTTTGATTTAATATTTTCCAAGCTGCTTTTTAAGACAGTCAGATAAGCTGCTCTGCAGTTCATGTAAAAAATGGCTCCTTCTGCATGCTGGGACTTCTTCCCTTGGGAGTTTTCTGAGTGTGTGGCTTTCTGATTCCCAGGAGTGCTGGCCATCCTGTGAGGGATGAAATTCCAGTCAGAATTTGTCATTGTCTTAAAAATGTCTCTGTTTGTCCTCTGAGACACAGACCAGCCCCAGTTACCCACACAGCCAGGTCCTATCCTTTCTTTTCTCTAAATCTGGGATGGGAATTTTTATCTGCACTTGTAGGTAAGCACCATGAGAGACACAAAAGAGTTTGAGCTCTACTTATTTTTCACAGTTTATTCTTCATTGGCAGTAAAAAGTTTCATTTCACTGTATTTTACACAGTTGCAGACATTTGCTATTACAAATATTAGATAAATATTATGTAGTCTTGATTTTTGAGAGCATAAAAACACATTTTCATGTTATCTGTGAAACAAGGCTCTGCCATCCATGTTTTCTCTTTTAATTCTCATAACTCAACAAAACATATGGATAATAATAAAATTGGTCAAAATTGGAACTCAATCTCAAAAAGATGTCAGGTTAAGCATAGAATTCTATTTCTTAGTTACCTAAATATAAATAATAGAAATAAATGTGCATAAAACTTTAAAAATAAGTGTGCATAAAACTTGGAGCAACACAGGCCTTTTATATCCAAGGCCCATACAGTTATAAATGAAAGGAAAAAAAACACAAAACTATATTTTTTTGTCAATTATTAAAACAACTCAATGCTGTTTGCTCAGCAATGGTCAGCAAACTCTGACAGCAGCTTTCTGCTTCCACCAGGGGTGATTAAGGTTTTTAGGAGGCCATCACAGAGGGACACTAAATCCTGTTGTGCTGTTGCTTTAACAGCTTCTTGTATTATTTTACCCAATGTTGGCTTCAGGAAATATATTCCAGTAAAATAAATGGAATATCCCAAGTTCAGCAACAAGACAACACCATCCCAGGGCCCCCTTCAGGACTCATTGGATTTTTACTCAGGAGGCCTCAACCACTGGCACCTTGTTGAGTTATACAGATCTTTTCCACTTGGGAAAGGCAGATAATAATTGCTTATCAAGGATGAAGTACCCAATTTGTAACTCCCTGACACTTTAATATTACACAGGCACCAGAAGGAGCCCACAGGGACCCCCTGGCACAGCCTGGCTCCTGCACACGGGTGTCACTATAATGAAGCACCAGTGTTACACACATGGAATGGAACTGGGGGGAAAGGCAAGGAGGTGAAGAAGAAGAAATGTTAATTTGCCAGTAACCAGTTTTTAGAAAATGTGAACTCTTGTTTGCAGTCCTTGGACTTCCCATTACTGAGATGTTTCTTATGTGGCCAGGAAGTGCTGCCGATCCGTGGCTGGGAAATGCAGTGAGCAATGGCTCGGTGACAGCACTGCCAGCAGCCCCATGGCTTAGGCTGGGACATTTGTACTGGGTAAACGACACTTCAGAAGGATAGACAGAGGGGAGCAATCCAGCCCAGGCTTCCAAACAGGGAGAGAGTAGGTTTGGATTAGAGATTGGGAAGAAATTCCTCCCTGCGAGGGTGGGGAGGCCCTGGAAACTGTGGCTGCCCCTGGATCCCTGGAAGGATCCCTGCAAGGCCAGGCTGGATGGGTGTTTCAGCAGCCTGGGATAGTGGAAGGAGTCCCTGCCCATGGGTAGAACTGGATGAGTTTTAAGGCCCTTCCAACCCAAACCAGTGCAGTTTTCTCAGCCCAGAACACTGTGTGCCATGTCCCATTCTTCCTTGGACACCTGCAGGGATGAGGACTCCAGCCCTTCCTGGGCAGCCCCTTCCGATGGCCAATCACCCTTTCTGGGAAGGAATTCCTCCTGTTGGGCAAAGTCAGACCCTCCGTGGCAACCCCGACCTTCACTCACCGGCTCACCCACACAGAACCCGCACTGGCACAGGGAAGCTCCGCCCTGCTCCGACCCCGTCCAAATGAAACGAGGAAACTTTTCCCGCATGGATCTCATCACCTCCCTCCCTCCCGGGCACAGGGGGCTTCAAGGGCTACATTTGCCACCCACCGTAAAAAAAAAAATTACAATCCCCTTCCCCTAGCCCTGAGGGGAACCAGCCCTCCCTCACTCCCTCAGCCCCGCTTAGCGATCCCTGAGGGACCCCTGAGGTGCGTTCGGCCGCCCCGAACCCGCCGCCCGAACATCCCCGGCCCGGCTCCTACCGCGCACAGCGGGACCCGACGAGCCCACACGGCCACCGCTCTCGGTCTCGGCCCCTCAGCCCTGCCGGGCTCCTCGGCCCCGCCCCGGCCCGCCCTGCCCTCGGCGCCGTTTCCAGCCGGCGGCGTTTGGCGGGCACACGGCGGGAGCTGTGAAAGGGAGGCGGCGGGAACGGCTCCGGGATGTCGTAGGTGTCTGGGGAACGGGGCAGCGCTGCTCTCCCTCTCCCCTTCCTCTTCTCCCTTCCCCTGTTCTCTTCCCTCTCTCCTCTTCCCCTGCCCCCTCACGGCAGCTTGTCGGTTCCCGCGGGCTCCGTGAGGGGAGCGCTTCTCCCGGCGGGCCGAGCGCGTTCCGTGAGGGGAGAAGCGCCCTCAGAGCGGGCCCGGGAGGGAGGAGCGGCTGGCGAGGGGCGGGATTTGTTTCCCGATGGAAACAGACCGGGAAGGGCCGGCAGTGGTGGCTTCTGGAGCGGCTGGCGAGGGGCGGGATTTGCTTCCCGATGGAAACAGACCGGGAAGGGCCGGCAGTGGTGGCTCCTGGAGCGACTGGCGAGGGGCGGGATTTGTTCCCCGATGGAAACAGACCGGGAAGGGCCAGCAGTGGTGGCTCCTGGGGCAGCGCTGCCGCTGTGGGGATCCTCTCTGGGTTCTGCATTTCTGAGGGGTCGAGGGCGGCTCTGCTCACAGGTGCCCATCGAGGAGTAATGGCCGTAAGCTAAAACACACCGAGTTCCACCTCAACATCAGGAACAACTGCTGTGCACTGAGGGTGGCAGCGCTCTGGAGCAGCTGCCCAGAGAGGCCTTGGAGTCTCCATCTCTGGAGACATTCAAAGCTTGTGTCACCTGCTCCGGGTGACCCTGCCTTGGCAAGGGGTTTGGACCGGATGAGCTCCAGAGATCCCTTCCAGTCCCAGTTATTCTAATTCTATATCTCTACATAGCATGGGTAACACCCGTGGGGCTCTGTGGGAGAGGGGCAAGAAGAAGGAGCGCAAGGTGGTTCAGCTTGGAAAGGACCCACAGTGGGTCATGCCTTGCCCATGGCACAGGCTGGCATCCAGGCAGGTCTGGAATATCTCCAGTGAGGGAGACGCCTCATCCTCCCTGAACAATCTGTTCCTGTTGTTATTACATTTCAAAGGTTCCATATTGCTAGAGTTTCATACCTCCTTGATGTGCCTTGTGGGCAGCTGCTCTAGGCACTGACTCTTCCTTGTCCTCACAGCAACCAACTGACTCCAGTTCCCCTCGACCAACCAAGCCACTCTTTTATAACACTCTTCTTCTTATTGGCTACAGGTGTGGCCTGTTAAAATCAGGCCTGCTCCTAATCCTTAATAATTGGCTCAGCTGCAACTCTTTAGGGGATAAGATTACATTCTATACTACCTTTATTCACTTATGTTCTGTCCTCCTACATGTTCCAGTGCTCAGTCACTGCACAGGAAAAGAGTTCTTCCTCACATCCAGGTGGAACCTCATTTTCTGCCCATTGCATCTTGTCCCATTTCTGGACAAAGCCTGGTCCATCCTCTGACCCCTCCCTTGGCCACCACTAAAGGGATTGACAAAAAAAAAAAAAAAAAACGTTTTGGTATGAATTTGTGAAAGTGTGGCTTAAACAGAGTTTGATGGCAAGGTTCACTCTATTGCTCCCTACACAGATGGAGCATACAAAGGAAAATGGGATTAGAATAAATTTAGAATGATTTACACAGAGACCAGGGATGCAAAAGGGTCACAGGGACAAGGATAGGGATACAAAAGATACAGGTGCAAAAGAGTTTAGCAGCACTTAATCACTGACTGATTTAATATTTATAAAGTGATTCAACAGGATTTACTACAATTACAGCAGTGACTAAATTATAGATTCACACACACTCAGGTGCAGAGAGGTGGGAAGGAATTGCAGGCCTGTGGAGATCAGGGCCCCCATGCCCATTTTCCATCAGGCTGTATCTCTTCATTTTGTCTCCAAGGGGAATAAATCCTGCTCATTTTTCTCCTATATTTTGCAATTTATCAAGCAGTAAGTAATTAATCAAGTCATGTAACTCTGGTGCTGCTCTTGTGTGTCTCTGCTGATCGTGAGCTTCTGGAGATCAATAAAGAAAATTCTTTATCCTGATAAATATTAGGCACAAAATAATCACTGCAGGTTGTACTGCAGCTGGCTGTAAACATGTGCCATCATACTCTGCATGGCTAACAAAATAAATTAAACCTTGTCAGGCTAAATCAGGGGTAGGAAACTCAAGTTGAATCCTCTCACCACAAGTGCCCCATCTTTCTGTCTCCTTTTCTTGTTCCACTCTGACATTTGGTTCTGCAGCACAGGCAAAGTGAACTCTATATTAAAAAAAATAATAAACCACACTAAAAGTGGTGCTCTTGGTGTCATTTCCTAAAATACTTGAGGAATTCTGTCTGCATGTATTGTTTTTTCCCCCCCACATTCTTCTTCTGGAAGATCTGAGAGAGGACAGTTCAACCAACGGGGTTTTCATGTGAGGAGCTGGGATGAATTTGCTTTCAAATATTTATATTACTAAACTATTAACAGATGATGTTCTCTGTTTCTTTAAAACTTTGGAACCACATAGCTGATTTCTTAAATCTAGTCCATGCCAGCTTCCAGAACTATTAATGTTTCAGTTAGCTTCATTCTTTGATGCTTCATCAAAATTTTCTACAAGATCTGGGACATCATCATCTTCTTCATCAATATCTTCCGATTTTGGTGCTTTACTATCCAACACTTGTCTTGGGAATTGTTCAGCTAACTTCCTGAGACTTGTGTGTAGAGCTGGAGCACAAACTTGAAATTATTTTGATTTAACTTCCCCCATTATGGCATTGAAAAGACAATCAGTAAAAACAACTCCCCAAGCAAGCCAGGCTGTTGGGTGGCACGAGGCAAGGTTGATCTCCTAAAGCTAAAATCCTATTTTCCAACAGAACATTCCAGCCCTTTTCAACCTTGAAGGGCTTGGAATGAGGCTCCCTCTGTGCCCCCATGGTTCAGGGGTTAGTTCAGCTCTCTTTCTCTGCAGAGACAAATCTGGGCTGTGTGCTGCTCTGGTGCTGTACACAGCATTTGACAGACCTCAAGGAGCGTGGCTTTGGTCAGTGCACAGCTTTGCCCCTCAGAAATGCTCTGTGTTTACAACTTAGTGGGATTTTCGTGTCGTTTCTCATTTATTTCATCCTACAGCTGGGATCCTGCTCCTGATTTCCTTTGGCTTTCAGCTCCTTTTGACACCTGCCATAAAATCTTCCATCAGAACATGCCTTAGTGGAACATGCAAATGCATTGGCCCCCAGAGCATCCTTGCAGTGTGGGGGCATTAATAAATGGAATATTTCTCTGCTGCCGTGGGCTGGAAGCTGTAATGGAGTCGGGATTCCTTCAGCTATATGGGGTTCTCTTTAAAAAAGAAATACATTGTAAAGAATTCCATCAAACTGTTGCAGCTTTGGCTGCCCTTTGGCCAGGATTTCAGAGGCCCTTTTAATTTAAATGTTACCTGTTTACTTGGCTTTTTAAAGATAGGATATTTCTTTTCCCCTTTTTGTAATAGAGATAGCTGTAAAACAGTTTTCATATAAGCCCCTTGCCTGAGTTACAGATCAAAGATGTGTTTCCATGCTATTTTCCCAATCCTTTAATTTACAGTTTTGGAATAGCAGCATAAATTTGAAAAGGATATGTTTGGAATGAGGTCATCTAAATTCCTTACAAGGCAAAACATTCTTTTTCCAAGATGAAAACTGAACTAAGTTCTTGAAATATGATTTATATTCCAAACCTTGTTTAATTCAGTATAATATATATGTTTCTTGGGGACTGTTCTTACCAAGATTTTTTTTTTCTCACCGTTTTACATCATGCTTTAAACTATTGTTAAGATTTAAGAACGTGCTTAAAAAGTTTCAGTTGTCTCTGGGAAAAATAGTCTTAATTTATGTTGACCTTTCTTTCCTTGGAGCATTTTGCCTGCATTCAATAAAATTTTGATGACTGCTCTTTAGCAGACAGCTGTACCATATAAAGTATTATAAATATTCAGCTTTCCTCTTCCAGTGTTGCCATTAACAGCTGGGCATCCAGTTCAGAGGAGCAGATTTTGCAGAGAGAGCTTGGCATGTTCCTGAATCAGGAGAGGGAAGAAGGGAAGCAAACAGTTTCTTATGGTTTGGGGACCTGTAAAGGCATAGAGCATCTGTTCCCCAGTTAAGTCATAGCCTGGTAGCACTGAATCATGTTAAGAGCTAAAATGATGGGAAAAACTACTTTTTTCACCTTGCCTGTACCTGTGTCTTAAATGCCTTAAACATTATTCCACTAATGGCAAAATAATTCCAAGGCTTGCTCAGAAGGTATGGAAATGGAAATGCTTTTGGAGGGGGGGTTTGTTGTTTATAGCCTTGGAGAAAAGATAAATACTCAGCATGATTTCACTTCAGTGCCTGGATTTTATCTCTGGTATAAAATGGAGAATCAGATTTTCTTAGGCAAACACTTAATCCTCCTAAACAAGCAACATTCAGGGAATGGATTTGCTTTGGATGCCATCAGTAAATGTGAAACCAAAAAAGGAAACTGTCTTTAGCATTAGTAAAGATGCTTACCCCCCTTACTAACAGAAATCTTTGTGTCTACGTGACCATAAAACCTGCCCTTGTTTTTCTCTTGCAGGGTTAAGAGAGCATTAAATTTGGACACTGTTAAAAAAGATAATGTAAGTACTTTTTGGTGTGGGGAGCCATCTGGGCTGTATAAATATAGATGTACATATATCTGTGTGCAAAAAGAAATGTGGATATAAACAATCTATTTCATTTTAGCTGCCTTTATGTTGTTACAGATTGGATGTTGTCTGGGCAAATCTTAAAGCACAAAATTACTGCTGCAAATATTAGTATAAAATTGATTGTATTTCATTTGTCACAGAACTGCCTGGCGTTAAGGAATGTACATCTGCATGAATCACTTGAAAAATGTGCATATTGTTATTGCCACCACTATTTACCCAAGAGCTGAATGAGTTAAGATCCTTGGTGAAATCATTTATTAGAAATTAGCTCCATTATCCTGGGAAGCAAACGTTCTGCCATGTAATTGTACATGTGACAATATGGAATTATGATAATGCTGTAATCTGCATATTAGAAACTGCAAAATTGAAATGAAAACATGAAAGGCATTTTCGTGGCA